TGACCTTTCGCATCCCTATAATAGGGAACAAGCCACATCATGATCCCAGGGCCATGGGAACTGGCCACCGTCTGTGCTCTCCAGAGGTGGGCCTGGTCAACTCTCAGGGCTCCTGCCTCTCACCCTTTGTCAGGAACAAGTCATCCTGGCCTCCTCCACCGATTACCCTGCATTACACCTCTTTCACACCCAAAAGGAACATGGATAAGTGGCGCTTCTTCCATAAAGCATTTTCTGGGGAGGCCCTGGTCACAACAGCCTTGGGAAAGTGGGAGTTGTCATCATTGGATGGTGGGGAGATGGGGAACTGAGGGCTTCGGAATGAGGGAAGGACCGCCTCCTCCCTCCTGCCACCTGCTTCAGGCAAGCCTGACCTGGGCCACCATAGGCTGTGAGGCCCAGCTTCCCCGAAACAGCTGACCACCAAGGCATCCTGGTGAACCTGGGATAATGGTCCCTCCTTCCTTCCCCTCCCTCCCTCCTTCCCTCTTCCTTTCTTCTTCTTTTCTTCCTTCCCCCATCCCTCCCCATTCGTCCCTCCTTCCTTCTCTCTCCATCCCTCATTCCCCCTCCATCCCTCCTTCCCCCTCTCTCCCTCTTCCTTCCTCCTTCTCCCTCCTTCTTTCCTCCCTCCCTCCTTCCCCCTCCTTCCCTCCTTCCCCTTCCTTCCCTCCTTCCCCTTCTCCCTCCTTCCCCCTCCTTCCCTTCTTCCCCTTCCTTCCCTCCTTCCCCTTCTCCCTCCTTCTTTCCTCCCTCCCTCCTTCCTTCCCTCCTCTGTACCTCCTTGCTCCCTCCTTCCCCCCTCCTTCTTTCCTCCCTCCCTCCTTCCTTCCCTCCTCCCTACCTCCTTGCTCCCTCCTTCCCCCTTCCTCCCTCCTTCCTCCCTCCTTCTTTCCCCTTCTCTCCTTCCCCCTTCCTCCTTCCTTCCCCCTCCTCTCTCCCCCCTTCCCTCTTCCCCTCCTTCCTTCCCCTGTCCCTCCCTCCTTCCCTCCTCCTTCCTTCTCCCTCCTTCTCTCCTTCCCCCTTCTCCCTCCTTTTTTCCTCCCTCCCTCCTTCCCCACTTCCTCCTTCCTTCCCCCTTCTCCCTCCTTCTTTCCTCCCTCCTTCCTTCCCTCCTCCCGTACCTCCTTGCTCCCTCCCTCCCCCTCCCTCCTTCCTTCCCCCTTCTCCTTCCTTCTTTCCTCCCTCGGGTATCGGTGGAGGAGGCCAGGCGACTTGGTTCCCTGAGCAAAGGGTGGAGAGCAGGAGCCCTTGGAGATTTGACCCAGGGCCCACCTCTGGAGAAGCACAGGA